GAGAGAGAAGCTCTCCTATGGTGTCCAGGGCTGGCATCGTGTGGATGGGGAGCTTTCTGGAGTGGCTCCTGTCTGCAGGGGCTGGATCCTTTTTCCGCTCTGGTGTGGAAGAAGGGGTAGCCATGTGGTCTCCAAGGGTGGGACACCCAGGCTGTGGTCTTCTCAGGGTGCAGCTCTCTTCTCCAAGGCAGCTCTTCTCGGCGCTGGAGAGCGGCTCTGGGCAGCTGTGCACGTGGGTCGGGGAGCTCTTCCTGGAGCTGCACAATGGCACCTACACCACCCACGCCCAGGTCAGGGACTGGCTGCAGGGAGGGTGTGGCCTTGATCTGCAGAGGGTCAGAGAAGGCAGCAGGGGGCACAGCCCAGGCCAGACCTAGGAGAAGAGGTTCATGTTCCAGGAAGTTTGGAGGAGTCGAGTCCAAGACCTGGGTTGGCCACGAAAGCGGGAGGAGGCAGTGTCTCTAAAGAAAGAGGGGCTTGGGCGCCAGGGAAAAGACAGAAAGCATTTGAGGCAGGTCACCGGCCAGAGGCCTTCTTCACGAGGGCCCTGGGGAGTTCCCAGGGATGCTGAGCACGGGAGGGCTTTGGAAGGTGTCCTGGGACACTTACGCAGGCTCCAGACTGATCCTCCCATCCCGGGCTCAGATCAAGAAGGGGAACCGGGAATGTGAGCGGATCCTGCATGACGTGGAGCTGCTCAGCAGCCTGGCCCTGGCCCGCAGTGCCCAGTTCCTATACCCAGCAGCCCAGCTGCAGCACCTCTGGAGGTCAGCCCGGGTCTGCCCCTGCCACCCACCTGACTGCTCACTGCGGACACCTCTGTGGCTGCCCCTCCCAGCCTTTCCATCCCTGCCCTTGGCCCCTGCAGGCTCCTGCTTCTGAACCAGTTCCATGATGTGGTGACCGGAAGCTGCATCCAGATGGTGGCAGAGGATGCCATGTGCCACTATGAAGGTTAGGCTCACAGTAGTCCCACCCGCTCTCTCTAACCCCAGGGCTGAGCCCAGAGTGTCTCCCCTGTGGGATACTCATGGGCCCATTCCAGACCTGTTGCCCACCCATGACCAGTCTGTCTCTCCTCAGACATCCGTTCCCATGGCAATACACTGCTCAGCAATGCGGCCGCAGCCCTGTGTGCCGGGGAGCCGGGTCCCGAGGGCCTCCTCATCGTCAACACCCTGCCCTGGAAGCGCACCGAAGTAATGGCCCTGCCCAAGCCGGGTGGGGCCCACAGCCTAGGTACGAGCTGAGGGGAAGGGGTGCTACTGCGGCAGGAAGGGTGGAGGCCAGACAGATCAGGCCTGGGATAGCCCTGGGGGTCTGTGCCCTGGGTGCCCCAGATTGGAGAGTAGCAGCACATCCTCCACCACCCCACCCCGCCTGTGCAAGCTTCCTGGAAGGTCAGGGAGGCTGCACTGATGCCCAGGCCTCACCCCTAGCCCTGGTGACAGTGCCCAGCATGGGCTATGCTCCTGTTCCCGCCCCTACCTCGCTGCAGCCCCTGCCGCCCCAGCAGCCTGTGTTTGTAGTGCAGGAGGTGAGTCCTGCCTGCCCTGGGGGCAGGAGCGGGGATGCTTTCTAACCCAACCCGGGTCCTGAGTTCCTCTGCCTGGAGCAAGTGGTGAGGCGGGGCTGGGGCTGGGGTGGTGCTGGGGCTGGGCTGGGAGGACTTTTGGTGTGGGAAGCCCCTACAAACTCAGCCTCAAGGCCTCCTCCCACAAAGACTGATGGCTCCGTGACTCTGGACAATGGCATCATCCGAGTGAGGCTGGACCCGACTGGCCGTCTGACGTCCTTGGTCCTGGTGGCCTCGGGCAGGTACCAACTCCTCACTGCCCTTTCCCAGTACCGGCAAATAGATCCCAGCCTGCTTCCTCTCTCCCATGGCCACAACACTGCCCACAGCAACCCACCAGTGGGTCTGGGCTGGAGCCCACACATGGGGCAGGGCAGGCTGGGCAGTAGTCCCCTGTCTGCTGGGGCTGCTCACTCCACCCTACCCCACCAAGTGCAGCTGGAGGGAGCGAAGTCACATGGTTGTAAGCACCAATCCCATGTGCTTCCAGGGAGGCCATTGCCGAGGGTGCCGTGGGGAACCAGTTTGTGCTGTTTGATGATGTCCCCTTGTACTGGGATGCGTGGGACGTCATGGACTACCACCTGGAGACACGGTATGGGCCGGGCAGCACATGGGGACAGTGGAGGTGGTGGGAACACAGGCTGCTCTGGCTCAGTGTGTCCACTCTTCCCATAGGAAGCCTGTGCTGGGCCAGCCAGGGACCCTGGCAGTGGGTACTGAGGGCGGCCTGCGGGGCAGCGCTTGGTTCTTGCTGCAGATCAGCCCCAACAGTCGGCTTAGCCAGGAGGTCGTGCTGGACGTTGGCTGCCCCTATGTCCGTTTCCACACTGAGGTAGCAGGGGGGTCAGGGGGTGGCTGTTTTCCCCAAGCATGCTTGGTAAGGAGGGGGCAGCCCCAGGCCTGGGTGTGTCTCTTCCTGCCCTTACTCCCACCCTCCATCCCTCTCCCAGGTACACTGGCATGAGGCCCACAAGTTCCTGAAGGTGGAGTTCCCGGCTCGTGTGCGGAGTTCCCAGGCCACCTATGAGATCCAGTTCGGGCACCTACAGCGGCCCACTCACTACAACACGTCTTGGGACTGGGCTCGATTTGAGGTCTGACATGGTAGGGTGGGGGTGGCCTTGGACTCCTCCGTGGCTGGGGAGACTGGTTGTTTTGTACGGGCTGGGGAGGAAGAGGATAATCAACATCTGCTGCTTCCTAACATGTGCATTGTACTAAACACTTTACATTGGCCGGGCGCGGTGCCTCACGCCTGTAATGCCAAGGGAGGCTACGGCAGGCAGATCACCTGAGGTCAGGAGTTCAAGAGCAGCCTGGCCAACATGGAGAAACCCTGTCCCTATTAAAAACACAAAAATTAGCTGTGTGTGGTGGCACATGCCTATTATCCCAGCTACTCGGGAGGCTGAGGCAGGAGAATCACTTGACCCCGGGAGGCAGAGGTTGCAGCGAGCAGAGATCATACCACTGCACTCCAGCCCGGGCAACAGACTGAGGCCCCTGTTTCAAAAAAAAAAAAAAAAACCACCCCCAAAAAACTTAACATTTAATTTGATACTCATGATCATTTGGTGGGGTGAGTACTATTATTTATTCCTGTTTCTCAGATAAGGAAACTGAGGCTTAGGCAGATAGGGTGGCATGCCCAGGCCCCCTAGAGTGGGAGCTGGAGTTGAGTTGTATGGTTCTAGAGCTTGCGCCCCGCCAAGTGACGGGAGCTCTGGAGTCCGGGAGCAAAAGGAGAGGCACGGGGCCAGCATGTGTGTCTTGGATCTGCCCTCAGGTGTGGGCCCACCGCTGGATGGATCTGTCAGAACACGGCTTCGGGCTGGCCCTGCTCAATGACTGCAAGTACGGGGCGTCAGTGCGAGGCAGCATCCTCAGCCTCTCACTGTGAGTGGGGTACCCACCAGGCCTGGGAGCTGGCAGGCGACATGGGTCTTCCCGGCCGCAATTCCACCAGCTTCAACCTGACTCCCACCCGCCCTCCTCACCCCAGCTTGCGGGCGCCTAAAGCCCCAGACGCTACCGCTGACATGGGGCGCCACGAGTTCACCTACGCGCTGATGCCGCACAAGGGTGAGTGCTGGGGACGGTGGGGCCTTCCTGCAGCCCTAGACACCTCTCTGCCCTTCTCTGAGCACAAACCCCAGCAGCCTGGCTCCCTGCCCTCCTAGGGACATGGGAGGGAAACCTCCATTCTCCCCCGGCATCGCTTTCTGGCTGTATCCCAGGCTCTTTCCAGGATGCTGACGTTATCCAAGCTGCCTACAGCCTCAGCTTCCCCCTGTTGGCTCTGCCGGCCCCGGGCCCAGCGCCAGCCACCTCCTGGAGTGCCTTTGCCCTGTCTTCACCCGCCGTCGTATTGGAGACGGTCAAGCAGGCAAGGGGTGGGACGTGCCGGGGGCGGGGTCCTGGCCTGGGTGCCCCCTTGGCCTCGCCCACCAGCCGTGTCCCTCTGCAGGCTGAGAGCAGTCCCCAGAGCCGCTCGCTGGTCCTGAGGTTGTATGAGTCCCACGGCAGCCACACGGACTGCTGGCTGCATCTGTCGCTGCCGGTTCAGGAGGCCATCCTGTGAGTGGCGCCGCGAGGTGGGGGCGGGGGTAGGTCCTGCCCTGGCAGAGCCCTCATGGCCCCTCCTGTTCTCCAGCTGCGACCTCTTGGAGCGACCAGACCCTGCTGGCCACTTGCCCCTTCGGGACAACCGCCTGAAGCTCACCTTTTCTCCCTTCCAAGTGCTGTCCCTGTTGCTCGTGCTCCAGCCTCCACCACACTGAGTACCTGGGGCTGGGGTTTTGTTTGTGGAAGGCTTTGGGGACTCCTAATTTCTGCTTCCCCAGCCTAAAAGAGGGATCAGTCTCTTCTTGCAGAATAAATCCTTGGATGAGGAACCTGCTGGTAGCCGCTGCCCGGTCCCCTTAGGGCCCATCCTCAGGCTTGGGGTGGGGGTGGGAAGGTTTTCGGTGGGAAGGTTTTCGGTGGGTAGGGGCAAGGTCCTAAGGTACCTATGTGTGCAGGGTCTGGGTTGCAGCCCCCACAAGAGACATTGGGGACCCTGAGTGACCAAAAGCCAATGAAGAGACCACGCGTGGAGAAGCTTTTCCCCCATGCCTGCAGGCAGAGGGCCTGGGGCTGGGGAGCAGCTGGATGGCGGGTTCTGCCTAGCTCCTGCCAGGATGGGGGAGCAGCCCTGGACCCTGGAGAATCTGGAGTGGAGGAGCTGTGGCTCCCGGGCTGCCTGGGGCCAGACACCACCTCTGAGGGGCTGTCTCTGCAGAGGCAAGCTGTCCTCTGACAGCCAGAGCCTTGAGGACTAGCATTCGGGCTGTTTGCCTTGTGAGGAGGTGGGTCTCCTGTCCCCAGGCCCAGACAGCAGGACTTCCTACCTGGCCAGCTCAGACCAAGAGGTGCCAAGAAGTTCACATTTACCAGTTTATTAAAAATACAGCATTTTTTCACATGAGCCTGAAGGATGTGGAAGGTGGGGTGCGTTAAAAACATCACAGTAGTGCTGGGTGCAGCCGTCGGGGCATTTGCACCTTCTGAGAATTCAGATACTGCCCACTCCCGAGAATTCAGACAGACCCCCAGGTTCAGGGCAAGGCAACAAGAAAGGGCGGTGCAAACAGGGAGACCCTCCTGCTAAGAGGCTGAGGTCCCCTCCGGTTCCAAGGATGGGGTGTCAGCCTTGGCCTTCCGGGGTCTGTGCTGGCCTGGGGGAAGAAAAGGGGGGATGGTCAGCTCAGACTCCGGGGCTGCCCTGACAGCCTCTCTCCCAGCTTCGTTCACAGGCTCCTAGGCCACCCTCCCCTCCTCTGCTGTAGAGCTGGTTTCTGGGAGGGCTGAGGAAAGCCTACCAGAGGCTGCCTGTCGTCCCTTCCTCCTCCCCTTCTTGGGGATTTTGGGAGCTTCTGGGTCCTGCTGGAAGCTTGTCGCCTCAGGCCGCTGGGTTGCAGTTCTCTCAGGAAGGTCTCTCTTTGCCCTTCGTGCCCTGGAAGGGGCCTTGCTTGGAGGTGGAGGGTCCTGGATGGAGGAGGCACAGGTCCCTAAGGGGCTTTGCAGAGGTTGGTTAGGACACGCCACTCCCACTACCCTCTTAGGGTAAGGCAGCTGCCTGGGGGGCGAAGCCAAGGCAGGAGTACAGGGGAGGAGGAGGTGGGGTGGGGGCAGCCAGGACAGGAGTACAGGGGAGGAGGAGGTGGGGTGGGGGCAGCCAGGCAGGAGTACAGGGGAGGAGGAGGTGGGGGGGAGGCAGCCAGGCAGGAGTACAGGGGAGGAGGTGGGGCGGGCAGCCATACCTCCACCCTGTCCTCAGGACTCGGCTGTGTGGCCTTGGATTTCTTTTTGCGGGATTTGCGCCCTGCAGGACACTGATGTTGGAGTTGGAGGGTCCTGTCCTGCCCCGGGGGGGACTCCCAGGGTTTCAGGGGGATAGGGTGGAGAAGGGTGCTGTAACCCTTGCAGGTGAGAAGTCCTTTCTGCTCTCTCCGCCTATTACATTAGGAGTAGCTTACCTTTGGGTGCCAAGGGTCCAGGATCCCCCTAAAGTGGGATGGGGATAATTCAGGAGTCGGCCTGCATTGGCGCAGGGGCAGTATTCCTGTGAGAGGCAGGACTCACGCACACCCTTCCAGATCAGTGTAGCTTCTGCCCCTAGGAAGCCTGTAGGACTTTCCCTATGTCAGAGTCCACATCAAAGCTGCCCTGCCCTTAGGCTACTTTCACTCTGCGACCCTGGGATGCAAGGGAGGGCCATGACCCTCGGGGAGCAGTGTGGTCCTTGGAGGGTCTAGACAGGCCCCGAGCATCTCCGCCCCAGTTCTTGTGACCCCAGGTTTCATTTCCACCCATCAGCCTCGTGGGGTCTCTTTGCCAGTGTGAACAGGGCCCAACCTGGAACCAGATGGTGCGGCCATGCCGGTCCTGGAGGGAGCTCATGCCCGGCATGCCATAGCACCGCAGCCAGGCGCGAAAGGCGGCAAAGTCCTCCTCCCCGCTCTCTGACCCGTAGCCTTTGCCCCCTGTGGGACAAAGGAACAGGCAGAGATCAGAGGGCAGACTTGGGTTGGGAGGAGTAGAGAGGCTGGTTAGACCTGGCCCAGACCTCAGCTACACAAGCTGATGGACTGAGTCAGGGGCCAAACTCTCCCTCCTCTGGTGATGTGACCTCAGCTGGTGTCTTCCCACTCAGCCATGGGTTTCCCGTCCTGAAGGGGGGGTTAAGGATCCTTGTCCTGGCCCTGCGCAGTGACTCACACCTGTAATCCCAACACTTTGGGAAGCTGAAGTGGGAGGATCCCTTGAGGCCAGGAGTTCAATACCAGCCTGGGCAACATAGGGAGACCATGTCTCTACAAATTTTTTTTAAAAATTAGCCTGGTGTGGTGGTATGGGCCTGTAGGCTGAGCCACTTAGGGGCAGAGGTGGGAGGATCACTTAAGCCCAGTTTGAGGCCAGTCCAGGCAACATGGTGAGATCCTATCTCTACCAAAAATACGAGTGTGTGTGTGTGTGTGTGTGTGTGTGTGTGTGTGTGTGTGTGTGAATATATAAAAGAATCCTTGTCTGTCTCATGGGTTGAGGAAACACTTTTTTTTTTCTCAGACGGAGTTTTCACTCTTGTTGCCTAGGTTGGAGTGCAATGGCCCGATCTCGGCTCACTGCAACCTCTGCCTTCTGGGTACAAGCAATTCTGCCTCAGCCTCCCAGCCTCCTGAGCTGTGATTTCATGCATCCGCCACCATGCCCGGCTAATTTTTTGCATTTTAACAGAGACGGGGTTTTACCACGTTGGCCAGGCTGGTCACTCCTGACCACAGATGATCCCACCCACCTTAGCCTCCCAAAGTTCTGGGATTACAGGCATGGGCCACCACGCCCAGTCAGGAAACACTATTGACAAGTGAGGCCTAGTCCACTGAGTGACAGCTAGGGCTACAAACTTCCAAGCCAGTGAATCAGGCCCAAAGAGGGACACCTGCCCCAGGGTTACACAATAATTTGCTCCAGCAGAGGTCATTCCATTTTGGCCTCACCCAGCTGGACCACTTCCTTGGGCACTGAGTGGCACAGCTCCAGCAGGTCGGGGTTCTGCAGCTTGGCCTTGATCTTCTGGCTCAGTGTCAGCTCCGGGCTCTGAGGAAGGGGCAGGGGCAGGACCTGTCTGTCAACGGGGCCATGTAAAGGCAGCTGACCTTCCCTCTGAGCTTGGCGGGACCTTGGGCCGTTCACCCCCCTCAGCCCTGCTGTTAAGCTAAGCTGAGGACACCTGACCCTAGATGGGGCTCACCGGCCTTCGCTGCTGTAGGGCCTCCAGGACCGAGCGGGCCTTCTCAAAGGGTGGGATCTTCAGCCTGGAGTGGGGGCGAGGGAAGCCACGGTAGGCAGTGGGGAATGTGGACACACCTGGGCCACCCGTCCCCATGCCCATGCCTGCTTGCTGACCGGTACAGGATCTCCGCCCGCAGATAGTTGCCAATGCCATTGAAGAACCTCTGGTCCAGGAGGGCCTCGCAGATGGGCCGGTCGAAGGCCTTGTCCGATAGGTTTCGTAGCACATTCTCCCTGGAGGGACACAGTCTGAGTGCATAAGACCCATCCCCACCCTCCATGGATGGGGAGGGGCTCAGGAGAACCTGTTTCTGGGTGCAAGGGGAAGAAAGCTGGGAGTTCCAGAGTTTCCTCTGCTCCCTGCCTTGGTTTTCCTATCTGTCAAATGGGAACATATGGGATTAAAATTCACTGTGAAAGGATGGCTGGGTGAGGTGGCTCACACCTGTAATCCCAACACTTTGGGAGTCCGAGGCTGGCAGATCACTTGAGGTCAGGAGAGCAGCCTGGCCAACGTGGGAAAACCCTGTCTCTACTAAAAATACAAAATTAGCTGGGTATGGTGGGAGGTGCCTGTAATCCCACCTACTTGGGAGGATGAGTCAGGAGATCGCTGGAACCCGGGAGGTGGGGGTTGCAGTGAGCCAAAATTGGGCCATTGCACTCCAGCCTGGGCAACAGTGAGACTCCATCTCAAAAAATAAAAATAAATTGATCGTGAAAGGTGAAAAATACTGATCAAAAGTAATGTGAGGCTGGTGTGGTGGCTCACACCTGTAATTCCAGCACTTTGGGAAGCTGAAGCAGGAGGATCGCTGGAGCCCAGGGGACCAGCCTAGGCCACAAGGAAGGCCACGTCTCTTCCAAAAATTTAACAAAGTAGCCAGGGGCTGAGTGGTGTGCCCTGCTGGTCCCAGCTACTTAGGAGGTCGAGGTGGGAGAATCACCTGAGCCCTGGAGGTTGGGACCACAGTGAGCTGTGATGGCGCCACTGCACTCCAGCCTGGGCAACAGAGCGAGACCCTGTCTCAAAAAAAAAAAAAAAAAGCAACATGCGGTTGTATATGAGGTTGTATGTTTATCACTACAGACTCCTCAGGACATGAGAACTGTGTCCACAGAACCTCACATGTCTGCAGTCTGGATCTCCCTGTATAGGACTGGTGGTGGGTGACACTATATGTGGGTTCGCCATTGGTAGGGTCCACTCTTCTCAGGATCCTGGATGTTCTCTGGCTCTGTGCAGCAGTTAGGTGAGGTACCAGTGAGGGCCCTGGGCCCCCATCCCACCTCCAAGGGCCGTGGGTCTCCTCCCCACCGTGAAGAGGATGCGCATCTTGTTTCTTTGCGAGAAAGGGTCATGGCAAGACTGACTGACTGATGGGTGTGAGGGGTGGGCCAGAAGACAGAGTCCTGGGGTGAAGGTACAAGGGTCGCCTGGGAGGTGCCCTGATCCCTGAGGGAAGCCAGTTGCCACACACCTCAGTGGAAGCACTAAGTAAACAGCGCAAATGCTCACTGTTTGAGAGAAACGTCAGAGCCAGCTGGCAGAGTTAACTTATGGCATGACTCCCCAGGAAGGCAGAGGTGGGAGGAATCCAGGACCAAAGACTGACGTTTCCCTGGGGATGTGCCTGGGGTCTGGGGAGGCCAGGAGTCAGCTGCCTTCTAAGGCGTCGGAGACATCCCCGAACCATCCCGCAGGCATCCATGCCTCCTAAGGGCCGACTGACGGCACAGCCTCCCCCAGAAAGGGAGAAGTCCACTCAGGGGCTCTGCATCTCTTGCCAGTTCGAATGCTTTCCTCTGGCTGGCTCATTCTCATCAGTCAGGCCTCAGCTCACCTCCCTAGAGTGGCCGCTGCCAGTACACCTCCACCCTCGCCTGAGTCATCCTCCACCTCTTTCACCTGTTGGGTTTTCCTCAGGCATGCATCTGCCCGTTTCTCATTCCCTTACCCTATCCGAACGTCAGTTCTGTGGGAGCAGGGACCACATTCATCTTGTTCACTGCTGTACCCCGAGCCCCTAGAACAAGGCCTGTCATGAAGCAAATCTTTAGAGGAAAGAAGCTGTCGACACTGAGCCATCTGAGGTCACCTGCATCACATCCCAGGTGGGGCTGTGACACCTTCGTGCAGGCAGGGAAGAGGCACAGAGGAGACCACAGAACATAGACCAGTGAGCAGGCAGGATGTGGGAGACCACAAACCCAAGGTGGAAACGTGTCATGAGGCAGTCCCCTCCCCACCCCCTTGAAACAAGTTTGCTCAGCCTCTTATGTTAAAGCCCCTCCACCTTCTCAGCCTCCTTGGAGCCCTGAGAGGTAGTGTGGCATTGAGGGTGGGAGCCCCAGCTTCTCTGACACTAACTGGCACCTGTCCTCAGGGCAGTGCCGACCCACCCTTTTGGCTTTCCTCTCTCCTCCCCCATCAGTTATTTTTTGAGACAGAGTTGTTGGAGTACAGCGGTGCCATCCCAGCTCACTGCAACCTCCACCTTCCTGGCTCAAGCGATTCTCCTGCCTCAGCCTCCTGAGTAGCTGGGATTACAGGCAAATGCCACCATGCCTGGCTAATTTTTGTATTTTAGTAGACACAGGGTTTCACCATGTTGCCCAGACTGGTCTCGACCTCCTGACCTTAAGTGATCCACCCGCCTCAGCCTCCCAAAGTGCTGGGATTACAGACGTGAGCCGCCACACCTAGCCCCCAATCAGTTTTGAGTTTCCTTATCCACTGGCTCGGGGAGCTGACCCAGGACAGGGACACTGTCTTGATCTGCAGATAAGGGGACTGAGGCCCAGAAGCAGCAGACACTTGCCCTTCGTTGGCCAACAAGGCACTAACAGAGCCAGGTGTGGAGCCCGTGACTATGCTCATCACACCTGGTGCTGGCCCTACCTGAACTGCTCGTACTCCTGCAAGACGCAGGGCCCGCGGCCTGGCTGCCACTTGCCCCCAAGATCCCAGTGGCCGAACCGGCGGATGTCCACGAAACACAGGGCGAGCTGGCGGCCGGGCGGGGCCGTGTAAAAGCGCAGGTGGGCGTGGCGTGGCAGCTCCTCGCGGGGAACCAGCTGGAAGGAGCCAGACATGCCGAAGCGGAAGACCAGGGCCAGCGGCTCTTGGGGGGGCTGGGCCCCAGGCAGGGGGCTGAGAGTCAAGCGCAGCTCCTTGCCGCGGGCGGAGGCCGAGATGCGGTAGGCGCTGCTCTCAAAGGGCACCTCGGGGTTGCGGCTGACGGAGGACTTCTCCACGCAGCCCCCAAACACCAGCGTCCTGCAGGCGTCGTTCACAAACTGGCTGGCCAGGTGTAGCTCCGGGCCCTCGGGCATCCTGAGGGAGGGTGGCAGAGTCCTGTCGGGGAGGAAGGCAGCAGGATGAGCCCGGCGTGGACCTTGTGAGGTAGCGGCCGTCAGCCCCATTTTGAGAGGAGAACTTGGAGGGTCGGAGGGGCACGCGGCTGGCGGGGAAGTGCGGGCCTGGCCACCGCCCCCAGTCCCCTCCCAGGACAAGAGCCTGGAAAGCCCAGGGCGCTGGGAGCCGGACCGCTAACCTCTTCCTTCCGTGAGCTTTCGCTGCGTTTAAAGTTCGAACCCGTGCGTGGCCGCGGCTCCCGCCCCGCTTCCTCCGGGCTCCCCTCACTCACTGGCTCTTTTCATCTCCGCCTTGGCCCCTGCTGTCCCTCTGTCCCGGAACATTTAAGGGAGCCTCCCCTCTGCACTCGCTGCCGCTTTCTCCAGGCCCTCCCACCATCTGAAAGGTTCTTAGGGTCACGTGGCCGCCCCCTCCCTGCGCTCCCTCTCTACCAATGACGCGCCCGATTTGTCGGCGCACAACAGAAGGAGAGGGCAGCCCGGCGGGCCTGGCGCAGGATAGGACACTCGGCCGCAGCGAGCCCCGGGCCTGCCCCACGGGCCGGGCACCCCCGCGGCCACCCCCGGGCCAGGGCAGGGGCCAGGACGAAGCGGGGCTCCTACCGTGCGCTGGAGCTGCCCCCACGGCTCCGCAGGAGGAGAGCGGGCACCAGGAAGGGCTCCCCGAGCTCTGGCCCGGGCCCGGGGGCGGTTAAGGTCCCGCGGCAGCGCCTGGTGCCTGGGGTGGGGGTACCCACTCCTCACCTTTGCCCTCCCCGCTTTGCCTCTGTCGCCGGGCGCTTCCGGATGGGACGCGAAGCTGTGCCTCGAGTGGAAGGGGGCACTTAGCGACGGGAAACGCCTGTACCTCGCCGTCTCCGCACCTGGGCGCCGACCTGGGCCTGGGGCTCGCAGGGCTTGTTTTGAGGGAGAACGTAAGGCTCCAGATTCCTAGTTTTGGGGAGGAGCGGCGCTCTAGGGCCCACCCTCCCCATGCTCCCGCTGAGGCCCTGCCCTCGGTTAATCCTGGCTCCTCTTCTCCTCAGGGCCCTCCAAAGTCCATCCTCTCCGTAGCCCTACAGCACGCCCCCACCCCGGGAACGGGCACTCCGTTCCGCTTGCCGCCACTGCAGCCACTAAAGGGTTAATGCCAGGAGAGGCGGCGCCCGGGAGCGCGCTGGGAGCCGCTGGGAAGTGTAGTCCCTCAGGAAGGCGGTAGCAACTCTTCGAGGTGAGGTTCCCGAGCTGGGGGTGGGGGGTGCTGAAGGCTGTAGGGCAGGCTTCGGGGCAGTTACCTGGCTGGGAGGTGGCGGAGAAACCTGGCTTCCCACTGCCCGGCGCCGGCGGATGCAGGAGCAGGTCTGAGGCCCCGGTCGCCCCTGTCTGTGGTTGGCGGAAGTCACCCAGCTAGCCTGGGACAGGGTCGGCACCCCCAGCAGGAAACAGCAGCGAGCCAGAGCGGAGCCGCCTGCAGCTGCGCGCAGGTGGTGCACAGGTGCGCGGTGCGCGCAGGCCCTAGGGACCCGTTGGGGACCCTAAGCACCAAGTCACAGTTAGACCCAGGTCATAAACAAACATCGTCACTGCTTGCCGGGTCGGAAGGGCAGCCAAGCAACAAAAAAAGGCAGGGAGGTAGACCCACTTCAGACGGTTCTGTGGGGAGTCTCTGAAATCAGGAGGTGCCAGCCCCCAAAAAGTAGGAAACCCGACAGATAGGCGGAAGGAACAGCCAGTGCCAAGGCCCTGAGGGGAGAAAGTCTGGCCACTGAAAGAACTCCAAGTCCCGTATGGTTGGAGTGTAGCTGCGGGTAGTGCCAGGAGGTGGAGGCAGAGAAGCAAACAGGGCTCCAATCAGGTCCGGCTGGGCCTCGGAAGGGCCTCCGTGTGGAGCCTGCACTTCATTCAAAGTGTGTGCCTGACCCATCGCCACGATTTCCTCTCCTTCACACTTCCCTGCTTACCTTCCTCTCCTTATTAGACATAATAAAAATTATGTGGCTTTGTAAGAAATTGGTTTTTAGAGATGCATGTTAAAAGTACTGGGCGTGAAATGTCATGACTTGTCTAATTTACTTGAAAATACTTCTGCCAAAATAAATGGAGTTAACAATAACTTGATATTAGTTGACAGTATCTAAGATAGTAGATATTAGTTAACAATAACTTCTTTTTTTGAAACAGGGTCTCACTGTGTCACCCAGGCTGGAGTGCAGTGGCACAATCTTGGCTCACTGCAACTTCCACTTTCTGGGTTCAAGTGATTCTCCTGCCTCAGCCTCCCGAGTAGCTGGGATTATAGGCGTGAACCACCACGCCCAGCTAATTTTTGTATTTTTAGTAGAGACGGTTTTGCCACGTTAACCAGGCCACTCTTGAACTTCTGACCTCAAGTGATCCGCCTGCCTCAGCCTCCCAAAATGCTGGGATTATGGGAGTGAGCCACCATGCCCAGCCAACAGTAACTTCTTAGTATCATCTAATAATACACATCCAGATTTCCCCTAATTGTCCCAATTACACACACACACATATATGTATCAGGGTCTCACTGTCACCCAGGCAACAATCATGGCTCTCTGCAGCCACCCACCTCCCAGGCTCAAGTGATCCTCAGCCTCCTGAGTAGCTGGGACTACAGGCACATACCACCATACCTGGCTAATTCATGATTCGTAAAGACATGGTCTATGTTGCCTAGGCTGGCCTCAAACTCCTGGGCTCAAGCAATTCTCCCATCTCGGCGTCCTAAAGTGTTGGGATTACAGGCATGAGCCACTGTGCCTGGCCCTCAAAATGTCTTTATAGATGGTTTGTTCAAGCAGATTCCAATCAAGGAGTATGTCTTTTTAATAATTTTAAATCTAGATGGAACTACCTTCCCCTCTCCCACCCACTTCATCCTACTTTGTCTTCATGATACGTTTCCGAAGAGTCTCAGCCAGTTGTCCTTTGACACAGATGCTGCATCACATTCTGAATTTGTCTGAATGTATGCTCAGGGTGTCACTGATACTATCACAGATTGAACCTCTGTGGTTCATCCTGCATGCTGGGAATTAGACCTAAAGGCCTGATTATATATGAATTCAGGGATACTTCCTAAGTGCTGCTCCATACTTTGTTTTTTGAGATGGAGTCTCGCTCTGTCACTCAGACTAGAGTGTAATGCGCAATCTCAGCTCACTGCAACCTCTGTCTCCTAGGTTCAAACGATTCTCCTACCTCAGCCTCCCAAGTAGCTGAGATGACAGGCATGCACCACCACTCCCAGCTAATCTTTGTATTTTTAGTAGAGACAGGGTTTCTCCATGTTGGCCAGACTGGTCTCCAACTCCTGACCTCAGGTGATGCACCTGCCTTGGCCTCCCAAAGTGCTGGGATTACAGAGATGAGCCACTGCGCCTGGCCACTGCTTCGTACTTTGAATTGCATCATATCAGGAGGCACCCAATATCCCATTGTCCCACTTTAGTGGGGGCTGAAATTGATAAGACTGGGGCTGTGGCAGCCGGACCTCTGCGTTGGAAAATGTATGCCTCATACCTTGTGACCACCAGATAATCTATGGAGCAATTTCTTTGTTGTTCTCTTGTTTAGATCAAGGTATAATTTACATATAGTAAAACTTACCCCTTTCCGACTGCAATATTTGACAAATACATAGTCATGTTAACTGCCGCCACAATCAAGAGGTAACACACATTGCAGTATTATTCCCAAGATGTGGAAACAACCTCAATGTCCATCAACAGGTAAATAGATTTTTTCAATGTGCCTATAAGGGAGGATCGCTTGAGCCTACGAGTTCAAGACCAGCCTGGGCAACACAGGGACACTCCATGTCTATACAAAAAAAGAATGAGCATAGTGGAATGCATCTGTAGTCCCAGCTACTCCAGAGGCTGTGGCTGGAGATCTCTTGAGCCTGGGAGGAGGCGGCGACAGTGGGCTGTGATCATACCACTGCACTCTAGCCTAGATGACAGAGTGAGACCTCATCCCCATCCCTGCCCTACCCCTACTACTCCCAAAATGTGGTATACAATGGAATATTATCCAGCCTTTAAAAAAGGGAAGTACTGGTTTGGTGTGGTGGCTCACACCTGTAATCCCAGCACTTTGGGAGGCAGGCGGATCATGAGATCAGGTGTTCGAGACCATCCTGACCAATGCAGTGAAACTCCATCTCTACTAAAAACACAAAAATTAGCTGGGCTTGGTGGTGTGTGCCTGTAATCCCAGCTACTCGGGAGGCTGCGGCAGGAGAATCACTTCAACCTGGGAGGCAGAGGTTGTAGTGACCTGAGATCGTACCACTGCACTCCAGCCTGGGCGACAGAGCAAGACTCTGTATCAACAACAACAAAAAAAAAGGAAATACTGCCACATGCAACAAACATGGGTAACCTCGAAGACATTGCACTAAATAAGTTGGTCACAGAAGGACAAATACTTCATTGTTCCACTTTTATGAGGTATCTAAATAGTCAAACACATAGAAGCAACAAGTAGAATGGTGGTTGCCAGGAACTAGGAAGGAGGAGGAAATGAGTAGTTGCTATTGAACGAATATAAAGTTTTGGGTTTTTGGCAGGGCACAGTGGCTCACGCTCGTAATCCCAGCACTTTGGGAGGCCGAGGCAGGTGAATCACTTGAGGCCAGGAGTTCAAGACCAGCCTGGCCAACATGGTAAAACCCCGTCTTTACTAAGAATACAAAAATTAGCTTTGAGATCCTGTCTCCAAAGAAAATAAAGTTTCAGGTTTTTGTTGTTGTTGAGACAGGTTTCACTCTGTTGCTCAGGCTGAAGTGCAGTGGCATAATCTTGGCTCACTGCAGCCTTGACCTCCCAGTAGCTGGGACTACACGTGGGGGCCACCATGCCTAATTTTTTGTGTTTTCAGTAGAGATGGGGTTTCGTCATGTTGCCAAGAGTGGTCTCCAACTCCTGACTTCAAGCGATCCAGCCTCCTTAGCCTCCCAGAGTGTTGGGATTACAGGCATGAGCCACCATGCCCAGCCTGAAATAGTGATTTTTCTAATTGTCATTCTTCATATATTTGATAGAATCCATCTGTCAAGTACAGTTTTACCTCACTGACCAGGGCTATTTGGTTATCCTGACTAAAAAGGCAGGATACGCTGTTTTCTTTCTTTCCTTTTTTTTTTTTTTGAGACAGGGTCTTTTTCTGTCACTCAAGACTGGAGTGCAGTGGTGCGATCATGGTTCACTACAGCCTCAAACTCCTGGGCCCAGGTGATCCTCCAACCTCAGCCTCCTGGGTAGCTGGGAAAACAGTGAACACCAGCACGCCCAACTAATTTCTGTATTTTTCATGGAGACGGGATTTCACCATGCTGCCCAGGCTAGTTGCCTTGTGATTTTTTTTTTTATCACTGTTTTTGTTTATTTCCTGTTTTCATTTTTGTTTCTTGTTGCCCAACTGTGGTCTAGTTGAACATTTTTTTTTTTTTTTTTTTTTTTGAGACGGAGTTTCACTCTTGTTACCCAGGCTGGAGTGCAATGGTGCGATCTCGGCTCACCGCAACCTCCGCCTCCTGGGTTCAGGCAATTCTCCTGCCTCAGCCTCCCGAGTAGCTGGGACTACAGGCACGCGCCACCATGCCCAGCTAATTTTTGTATTTTTAGTAGAGACGGGGTTTCACCATGTTGACCAGGATGGTCTCGATCTCTTGACCTCGTGATCCACCCGCCTCGGCCTCCCAAAGTGCTGGGATTACAGGCTTGAGCCACCGCGCCCAGCCTGAACATTTTTTAGAATACCAGTTTGACTTATCTATATTTTTAATAATAACAATTGTATACATTTATGAAATACAGTGTGTTTTGTTACATGTATGTAGTATGGAATAATCAAATTGGCTGGGAGCAGTAGCTCATGCCTGTAATCCCAGCACTTTGAATGCCAAGGCAGGTAGATCACCTGAGGTCGGAAGTTTGAAACCAGGCTGGCCAACATGGTGAAACCCTGTCTCTACAAAAAATTAGTTGAGTGTGGTGGTTCATGCCTGTAGTCCCAGCTACTCCAGAGGCTGAGGCAAGAGAATCACTTGAACTCGGGTGGCAGAGATTGCAATGAGCCAAGACTGTGCCACTGCACTCCAGCCTGGGCAATAGAGTGAGACTCTGTCTCAAGAAAAAACAAAAAATAACAAAAAAGATCAAATCGGGCTAATTAGTATATCAATTACCTCTAATATTTATCATTTCTTTGTGATGAGAACGTTTAAAACCCACTTTTAGCTATTTTTGAAATATACGTCGTTATTAACCATAGTTGTCACGCTCTGCAATAAATCACCAGATCTTATTCCTCCTAACTGGAACTTTGCACCCTTTCCCCGCAACCCACCTCTGTTCTCCTCCAGCCTTTGCTAACCACCATTCTACTGGCGACTTCTATGAATTCAACTTTTTTTTGGGGGGGGGGCGGATAGGGCCTCATGCTGTCGCCCAGGTTGGAGTACAGCGGCACTATCATGGTTCACTGCAGCCTTTACCTCTCTGGCTCAAGCAATCCTCCCACCTCAGCCTCCCAAGTAGCTGGAACTACTGGCATGTGCCACCATACCTGGCTAATTTTTTTAATTTTTGGTAGAGACAGGTTCACCATGTTGCCCAGCCTGGTCTTGAACTCCTGGGCTCAAGTGATCTTCCCACCTTGGCTTCCCAAAGTGCTGAGGTTACAGATGTAAGCCACTGCCCCAGGCCTTTTTAATTCCAGGCTAAGTGAGGTGATGTGGTATTTCTCTCTCCGTGCCTGGCTTATTTCACTCAGCATCATGTCATCTAGGTTCATCCATGTCACAAATGACAGAACCTTCTGCTTTCTAAAGGCTGAATAGTATTCCACTGTGTATATATACCACTTTTTTTTTTGTTTTTTTGAGACATGGTCTCAGCTCTGTTACCCAGGCTGGAGTGCAGAGACATGATCACAGCTCACTGCAGCCTCAAACTCCTGGACTCAAGTGATTGGTCCTCCTGCCTCAGCCTCCTGAGCAGCTGAGACTACAGGCACACACCATGCCTAGCTAATATTTTATTATTTTTTGTGTGTGGAGACTGAGTCTCCCTACGTGGCTCAGGCCGGCTGCAAAGTCTAAAGCAGTCTTCCCACCTCGGAGCCTCTCAAAATGCTGGGATTACAGGCATGAACCAGTGCACCTGGCCTTTAGTTATTATTTCTTTGAATACTTTCATTCCACTCTCTTCCCTCTTGCTTGCTGGGACTCTGTAATCATGAGTGTTAGCCTTCTGTATATCCTACAGATCTGTGATGATCAGTTTTGTGTCACCTTGACTGGGCCGTGGGGTCCAGATTTCAGAAATTTCTCTGCTGTGTGGAGTCTCACGTCCTGAGGATCCCAGCCAGGCTAGGCAGTCTTGTTCTCCGTCGCTCAGTCTTTCTGTTTGTTTTATATGTAACATCCAGGGTTGTTAACTGTACTTAGGGAGAGGAATAGGGAAAAGACCTACTTTATTTTCCCAGAAGCAGAAGTAAGGAGTGGAGTCAGTACTTACCTCTTTTGATGTTCAAACTGTTCCATCTTTGGCCAGGGAAGCAAACCATTATTCTGATAGGTTCCTTACACAAGATACTGCAGGCAAGTCCTTCTTATACCCTGTGTGCCAACCTTGGCATTGGCCTTTTCTACAAGGAGGCCTGGCTGGCCTGGGCCACTCCTGGGATCCCATCTGCCTTAGTCTTCTCCAGCTGCTGTAACAATACCGCAGAATGGTGGCTTACAGCACAGATTTCTTTCTCGCAGTTCTGGAGGCTGGGCAGTTCAAAATCAAGGTGCCAGCAGATTCAGTTCCTGTGGACAGCCCTCTTCCTGGCCTTGTAGACAGCCACCTTCTCGCCGTGTGCTCACACGGCCCTTACCTGGTATGTGCATGTGAACAGAGGCTTCAACATATGAAATTTGGAGGAACATGAACATTCAGTCCGTAACACCGATCCTCTTGCCTATGAGTGGTTCAGACATGGTCACCTCTCTCTTCCTAAAGATGGCAGTAGGCTGAGGCGGGCGGATCATAAAGTCAAGAGATTGAGATCATCCTTGCCAACATGGTAAAACCCTGTCTCTCTTAAAAATACAAAAATTAGCCAGGCATGGTACTGTGCGCCTGTAGTCCTAGCTACTTGGGAGGCTGAGGCAGAATTGCTTGAAATCGGGAGGCGGAGGTTGCGGCGAGCCAAGATCATGCTGTTGCACTCCCGCCTGGCAACAGAGCGAGACTCCATCTCAAAAAAAAAAAAAAAAAAAGATGGCAGTGAAACAAGGGCACTCTCTTTTTTCTACAAGGGGCACTTGGCTTTGGGGACACCAATGTGGTGCCAGCCTGAGAACAGGGCCAGAGGGCAAAGGTAGTAGAGCCAAGAACATCTCAGATCTGGGAGCCAGAACCCTGATTTTCCTCTCAACAGACAAGCAGATGCATTTTGGTGCTCAGTCTGCCTCACCTGTGGCCTGCCTTGATCAGCAACTGACAAAAGAAAATGAGTGATGGACCAAGGAGGCCCGTACGTCACTTTTGGTTCTCTCACAAAAACCCTTGATCTGAACCCAAACAGAAACCCCTGCACACATTCCTTTATGCTTCTGTTTATTTTTCCTGCTCATGAAAACAACCAACAACTGCCTTTCAAGGGAAGGGAAGAGAATGCTGGGAAAGGTCCTCACGAGCCCTAAGCCGAGCTCTCGAGAGAGAAGTGAGGCAGCCGGGGATCTGGGAGGCCAGAGCCCAGCTAGGGCCCCAGCTTCCTAGAAGCGGGGTGCTTCCTGAAGAGCAGTTGCAGAGGGCATGACTCCATACAAGTAAGGCGGCTCCACACAGGCCTGTAACTCCCTTCTCCTCAGCCCAGAGAGCTCATCAGGGTCTGGGCCTGCTTCAGCTCTGCAGAGGGAAGAGGTGGGCAGGCGGGAGGCAGTCAGGCAGGATCTGGGAGGGACCCTTAACCCTCCAGGAATGGCTGAGCCTCACCTGCCAGGAGGACCTGGAACTTGTCTGCTGAGAGGGACATGGCAACAGGCTGGGCTGGGGTACCTGGGGCAGCTGCCACCTCCAGCCGCAGGTGCACCATAGGCTCTTCCACGGACTGCAGCAGGCTGGAGCTCAGGGTGTAGTCTACCCGCCAGCCCACACCTGCCAACCTATTCGCTGGGAGATGGGGTGGGTGGCTCTCAGGATCAAAGGCAGGAAAGCCAGTGGCCCTCAGCCCACACCCTGGCTCAGCCCTCAACTCTGCAAGGCTGTGTGGCCTCTGAGAAGCTCCCATCTCCCTGACCCAGGCTCAGAACAGGGCAGGTCCCAACAGTCAGGAGTCTGGATCACGTACAGCAGACCTCAATGGCCAGAAACCTCGGCTGGAGTCAGGAGAACCAGGGCCAGGCCCCAGTTCTGCGGCTGCTCAGTATATCACCTTGGTTAAGTCATCTCCCTGGAGCTAGCACTTTGCATGCTGCATGCCCCTTCAAGAATGAGCCTGGAGTCTACCCTGGCTGGCCTCATACTTACTGCGCAGGCTGCACACCCGCAAGTGCTTCTGCAAGGGAATTTGCTTCTCCTCGTAACAGCGGCACAGGCTGGCCGCGTGCTCTGCAGGTAGAATGGAGGAGCTCTGGAGGTAGCAGGTGGGGGCTGGCCTTGGGCTGCTCAGAGGCAGGTCTCAGGCTCCTGGCCCAGAAAGGGCAGGGTACACCTCAGGGTCACAGGGCCTGGCCTGCTCTCTAGCAGCCCTTGGCCCACAGGCTGCCCAGCTGCCCACCCACAACCCGTACCTTTGGGCAGCCCCAGCTGCTGCAGTTCACTGGACAAGGATTCACCATCAACACTGTGCTTGGCCGCACTGGAGAGGATGAAACTCAGCACTGCCACTGTGGCCTTCACATCGCCTGACTCTGAGGGACCCGTGGGAGAGGCGGGGGGTGTCACTGTGGCCCCAGCCACCTCCCTATTGCCCTATTATCTTCAGCTCAAAGCCCCCAGGCCTCCTGAGTGACAGGCACTGCTACTGCCCCACCAGGAGCTGGTGGTGGGGAGTGTGGGGGGGTCGGGTTGGGATTGCCAATGTCTTTCTTTCCCTCATGCTCTTCCATTAGGGAAGGTAGGTTAAGGACGCTGCTGGGAGAGATGGGTGGGCCCCTCTGTACCAGGCACCATGCCAAGTTCCCAGGGTTGCCGAGGACCTGTGGACTCAGCAGGGTACTCACCAAACTTGGTGTCAGCCATGAGCTTCAGGATCTTCTCATACTATGGGGAAAGGAGACCTTCAGGGGGTGTCAGGCCCCTGCTCACCAGCCCCTCACCCCCAGCCTTGTCTGATCCTGTAAGGAACAGACAGGCTGGAAAGGAGGATGGAAGATGCCCAGAGAGGCTGAGAGGCTGGGTCACCCGTCTCCCCGGCCCTAGTGAAGAGTTTCAGGGCAGTGGGGGTCATAAGGTCATGGGACAATAGGGTGCTAGGTCTTATACTCACATCAATTCCCTGTCCCAGCAGCTCCTTTAGTACCTGGCTGCAGAGCAGCCGCAACTTCACAGAGGACTGGAAGGGAAGTCCTTGTATCAGCCAGGCTAGCATACCTCACACCGCCTTCCTAGGGACTGGCTCAGAGCAGGCCAGCCGCTGATCAGTATCACAAAGCATGGTAGCACAGGCTGAGAGCACTGAGGTCCTAACCCCAGAGAAACCTCACCATCCTCTACACCCACAATCCCCAGCCCCAACGCCCCTCCTCCACCCAGAGTAGACCCTGTGCACTCAACCATCTTGGCCAGCGTGCTGATCTCTGCCAGGACCCAGTCAGGACAGTCCAGATCACCACAGAACCGGAACCTCTGCAAGGGAGGGAGGCAGGTCATCAGGCTGGAGGGAGGGCTGAGGTGTGGCCAGGATCTGTGTGTGTCTCCCACACTGCTGCCCGGCACGGACCCCTGGTCCCTGTCACAGATGAATACCCTCTGGCCACTTGTTCTCCCCTATCACCAGGCTGTTCAGTAAACTCTCTCCCTGACCCACTTTGCCACCAAACCCTGCTGAGGTCTATTCTAGGCATTTATCTGCTCAGCAAACATCAATTGAGTGCCTTCTCTGTGTTAGTTCCCACTCCAAGTGCTGGGGGTACAGCAGGGGATAAAACAGAGCCCTGGGCCTCACAGACACGAGGGACCTCTCTCCCCTCTTCCCCAGACCCACACAACTCCAGCCACTCCAGCTTCCCTGCTGCTGCTCAGGGACACCAGCCTTGCTCTGCCTCCATGCCTGCTGCACTCTGCATGGCTTGCTATCCTTTATTGCATCCCACCCTTTGCTCAAGTGACACATCATCAGACAAGCCCTTCTTGGGAAAAAAAAAAAAAAAAAAAAGACAACATGCTCATGGCTGTAATCCCAGCACTTTGGGAGGCTGAGGCAGGTGGATCACCTGAGATCAAGAGTTCGAGAACAGCCTGGCCAACATGGCGAAACCCTGTGTCTACTAAAAATATAAAGATTAGCCAGGTATGGTGGTGCATGCCTGTGATCCCAGCTACTAAGGAGAATGAGGCAGGATTGCTTGAACCCGGGAGTGGAGTTGCAGTGAGCTGAGATCCTGCCACTGCATTCCAGCCTGGGCAACAAAGCAAGACTCTGTCTCAAAAGAAAGAAATTTTTTTTTTTTTAATTAGCCAGGCATAGTGACGCATGCCTGTTATCCCAGCTACTCAGGAGGCTGAGGCAGGAGAATTGCTTGAACCTGGGAGGCGGAGGTTACAGTGAGCCAAGATCAGCCACTGCACTCCAGTCTGGGCAACAAGAGCAAAACTCCGATTCAGAAAAAAAAAAAAAAAAGAAAGAAAAAGAAAGAAGACGGAGTCTCTCTCACTCTGTTGCCCAGGATGGAGGGCAATGGCATAATCTCAGCTCGCGGCAACTTCTGCCTCCTGGATTCAAGCGATTCTCCTGTCTTAGCCTCTGCAGTAGCTGGGACTACCGGCATGCGCCACCACCCCTGGCTAATTTTTTTTTTTTTTTGCTATGGAGTTTCACTCTTCTTGCCCAGGCTGGAGTGCAATGGCACTATCTCAGTTCACTGCAACCTCTACCTCCCGGGTTAAAGCGATTATCCTGCCTCAGCCTCCCAAGTAGCTGAGATTACAGGCTTGCACCACCACACCTGGCTAATTTTGTATTTTTAGTAGAGACAGGGTTTCACCATGTTGGCCATGCTGGTCTTGAACTCCTGACCTGAGGTGATCCACCCTCCTCAGCCTCCCAAAGTGCTGGGATGACAGGCGTGAGCCACCGCACCTGGGAAGACTGGCCCTTCTTGATCATACTTCCTAAAATAGCCCCTCACACAAGGAAATTTTGGGGGCCAGTCGATATGTTCATTATCTTGATTGTGGTGACCCAAGAGCCAGGAAGATTTGGTCTTTACTTGTCCAGCCTCATCCTTCACTAACCTCCAGATACTCTCCCAGCTACATGACATGCATTCATTCCTGGGGAGCCATGCTCTCTCTCACCTAAGTCTCTGCACATGCTGTTCCCTGTCTGAAGACACACGCCTCACACCCTTGCCTCCCAAACCCTGGTAAAGAAACTGTACTTCCGCCAGCCAGCTCCTGCCATCCCCCTTTAAGGTTGAAGTCATCCTCAGGAAGCCCCCTTAACCCTACATACACAAAAGGCGCAGTTAGGTCTCTGTCCCTGGAGCCTTAACTATGACTGCCAATTCAAGCCTTCGATTCCTCTTCCCTCGGCAGCTAAGGTCCTCTCTGTAAGGCCGGTTGCCTCGCCAGGAGCTTGAACATGCCCATCCCTCTCCACACCTGAAATTACGTCACCAGAATCTGCACTCAGCATCTAGCTTCGCCACGTCCAGCTCTGCACTCAACACTAAACTCTGCACTCGGCACCTAGCCCGCCGTTGGAAATCCCCTCTGCACTCAGCACCAGGATCTGCTCTCGACACTAAACTCTGCACTCGGCACCTAGCCAGCCGTTGGAAAACCCTGCCAAAATTTAAAAGAAGCCCCGCCAAAACCTGCCCAATAGCGTATTGCCCCGTCCAGCCCGCTCACCGGAAATCCCGCCTACCTACCTATAGCAGCTTGCCACGTCCACATCCTGCTCGCCACAGCCAATCAGAGCGCCTTCCCTCCCCATATAACCCCATGCCTCAAGTGTGACTTCCCTTGCCTTTTCCCCCAGGACCACAGACCCTCACCCGGTAGCCGAATAAATTGGCGTCTAATTGTTCTCATGCAGTCCTCAGTTTCCTCATTTTAAACTCGGCAATAGACCTCACAGAGAATAAACCTTACACTCCCAGTGCCCAGCACACTGCATGGTATAGACTTGGCGCTCAGAACATACAGGTGGATGGGTGGGTGGATGGATGGATGGATGAATCTCAACCCAAAAACTACTACTTTCTGGCTCTGGAAGGAGCAGAGAGGCTTCCCAACAGTGTGGAAGAGTGAGCCTGATTCTAAGCACGCTCCTGTCCAAGTCCCACAGAAGGGCTGGGGAAGTGGGCGTCCTTGGGAGGTCCTCTTGGGGCTGGGGAAGACCTGAAAGGACTCCAGCTCCAGACAAGCCCCAGTTTTTGCCCCCGGAGGCATGGGCCCTTCCTCCGCCAGGGAGGCACGAGGAGTCTAAGCCTCCGACTGCTTTGTCTTACCCGCCCCCGTCTGGGGAACGGGGCTGCGGCGGACTTTTCTCTACCAGACTCCCCGTCCTTACGCCCACACACACTGTGTTTGCGGAGAGGCCAGTGGAGACAACCTCCCCCGTTTCTGGAGCCACCGGTGCCCCCTCATTCCCGCTCCAGCAGCCCAGGCCTTGCTTCACCCCCGTTGCCTCACCATCGCGCCAGGAAGCCTGCGCCCGGAAACTCCTTTTTCCGCTCGCGCCGGGTCAGCTGATTCCACGGTCACGTGACTTGGAGTCACGTCCTCTGGGTGGGCGGGGCCTGCTAGAGTGCGGCTGGGAGCGGACCGCCGCTCCCTGGAGGTGGTGAGGGCCAGATGTTGCGTCTCCTCCGTCTCCCAGAACCCTTCCCGGGGAAAAAACCAGCGCCAACCGGCAGTTTAACAGGGGTCCAAATGAAGGCGTTAGGAAAGACAGCGGTAGTTATTTCATTTAACTTAAGCGAGTAGGATCCCAGGACCTAGGGTTCCAGGTCATTGCCATGTTTTCCACTATTAAGCAAATGCCATTATGCACAGCTGCGGGCTGTGGCAAAAGACGTATTTTAAAAACTTGAAATATACAGAAAACTGTATATATTGTAAATGTAAAGCTTTATAAGTTTTCGTAAACTGTAGACCTCACATAACCAGCACCCAGATTAGGAAATAACCAGATTTCTTCTTCAAGTGTGTGGGTATTTTATTTCATTTTGATGAATCGTCTAAGTGCCTAGCAAAAAAAGGCTGTCATCATTTACATGCTCAGGAAAACTCTACAACTTCAACATCAATAGATGCTTATCTTAATGTTTGCCCATGGGATGGGGGAAAAAATCGGTTGCTTAGATTGCAGTGGTAGTCTGCTTACGGGAGACTGAGCAAATGAGTAGTCTACAAAAAGTTAAGTTTCCGACATTGACTTGAAGAGGCAAAAACAAAAAGACAAAACGACAAAAAATATATATATATATATATACATTAGAGAATAGACTAATACCCAAAGAAGAAATCAAATACGGTCGTCGCTTAAAAACCTCAGGATATTGGTTCCAGGACCCCAGAGATACCAAAATTCACAGATGCTCAAGTCCCTGATACAATATGGCATGGTATTTGCATATAACCTATACACATCGTTCTGTATACTTTAAATTATCTCTAGATTGCGATAATGCCTAATATGACATACACGGTTTATAAATAGCTGTTATAAAGTATTTTGAATTTTTTGGAGGGGTGGTTTTACTTTTTCCGAATATTTCTGATGCACAGTTGGTTAAATCCAAGGATCCGGAACCCGAGGATACAGAGGGCTGACTGCAGTTTGCGCTCTCTCCTCCATTCCATGCCTATGCCATGCACCAGGTGCGGCTGGCTTTATTGTTTCAGGCTTTCAAGCTTTCAAAAGACAGAGCCCATGGCAATTAAACGGCTCTATAAAATACAAAGAAATGGAGAATGTCCCAATTCATAGTAAAAATGAGCTCATTTCTGAAGAGTTCTTTTACAAATCAAAAACACTAGCCTGTTGAAAACAACAGTATGTTAAGTTACTATATCATGTCAAAGAAAAATTTTAAGAACATAAGACCTGTAATCATAGCACTTTTGGAGGCCAAGGCCGGTGGATCAATTGAGCCCAGGAGTTCTAGACCAGCTTGGGCAACACAGGAGACCTCCCTGTCTACAAAACATTAGCCACTTGTGCTGGTGCATACCTGTCATCCCAGGTACCTAAGAGGCTGAGGTGAGAGGATCTCTTGAGTATGGGAGGTGGAGGCTGCAGTGAGCCATGATGGCACCACTGTACTCCATCCAACCTGGGTGACATAATGAGACCATTTCAAAAAAAAAAGAAAAAAAAAAGGTCTGAGCGCGGTGGCTCACGCCTGTAATCCTAGCACTTTGGACAGCCGAGGCAAGCAGATCACCTGAAGTCAGGAGTTCAAGACCAGCCTGGCCAACATGGCAAAACCCTCTCTCCACTAAAAAAAAAAAAAAAAAAAATTAGCGGGGCATAGTGGTAGGTGCCTATAATCCCAGCTACTCAGGAGGCTGAGGCACCAGAATCACTTGAACCTGGGAGGTGGAAGTTGCAGTCAGCTGAGATCGCACTACTGCATTGCAGCCTGGGTGACAGAGTGAGACTTCATCTCAAAAAACAAAACAAAACAAAACAAAAACATATAAGAATGGCTCAACTTTCATTTTGTCCTATCAGTAGGTTAAAGAAGAGAGAAATGGGCCAGGTGCAGTGGCTCATGCCTGTAATCCCAGCACTTTGGGAGGCCAAGGCGTGTGGATCATGAAGTCAAGAGGTCAAGACCATCCTGGCCAACATGGTGAAACCCCATCTCTACTAAAAATACAAAAATTAGCCGGGCGTTTGGCACAAGCCTGTAGTCCCAGCTACTCGGGAGGCTGAGGCGGAAGAATCGCTTGAACCCAGGAGGCGGAGGTTGCAGTGAGCAGAGATTGTGCCACTGTACTCCAACCTGGCGACAGAGGAAGACTCTGTCTCAAAAAAAGAAAAAAAGAAAAAAAAAAAAAAAAGAAAGAAAATTGGGTAGATTTGGAAAACTATTTTTATTTAAAAAGAGAAAATTAGGAACAGATGAAAACTTCCTTAAATTGAAAAACAAAACAGCAAATTTAACATCAGACAAAATATTTAAATTCAGAAATAAAGTTAAAAAGGTTTGTGGTGTGTCCTTTTTTTTAAAAGCATTGTTTCATGGATATTTGTTTTACAGATTATTTGACTAGAGCAGTGGTTGTCAAACATTAGCATGCATGATAGTCACTGCAGGGCTTGTGGAAAGCCTGGCTGCTGGCCCCACACCAGTTTCTAATTCAGCAGGACCCAGGTGGGGCCTGAGCATTGCATTTCTATGTTCCCAGGTGGCGCTGATGCTTTCAATTTGAAACCATGCTTTGAAAGCCACGAATGCAGGGAAATATACTTGACAATAGGTTACGAATACACTTGAGAATATGTATTTGTTAACTTACAGATTTCTGTCCAGTAGAAAACTCCCAAAGATGGCAGTTTTATTTCTTTTTTTTTTTTTTTTTTTTTTTTTTTTTTTTTTTTGAGATGGAGTTTCACTCATGTTACCCAGGCTGGAGTGCAATGGCGCGATCTCGGCTCACCGCAACCTCCGCCTCCTGGGTTCAGGCAATTTTCCTGCCTCAGCCTCCTGAGTAGCTGGGATTACAGGCACGCACCACCATGCCCAGCTAATGTTTTGTATTTTTAGTAGAGACGGGGTTTCACCATGTTGATCAGGATGGTCTCGATCTCTTGACCTCGTGATCCACCTGCCTCGGCCTCCCAAAGTACTGGGATTACAGACTTGAGCCACCGCGCCCGGCCTGGCAGTTTTATTTCTCTATAGGATTTTTTTTTTTTTTTTTTTGAGACAGAATTGCTCTGTTGCCCAGGCTGGACTGCATGATCTCGGCTCACTGCAGCCTATGACTCCCAGGTTCAAGCAATTCTCCTGCCTCAGCCTCCCGAGTAGCTGGGACTACAGGTTCCTGACATTGCGCCTGGCTAATTTTTGTATTTTTAACAGACAGGATTTCACCATGTTGGCCAGGCTGGTCTTGAACTCCTGATCTCAGGTGATCTGCCCACCTCAGCGTCCCAAAGTGCTGGGATTACAGGCGTGAGCCACTGCGCCCGGCCTTCCTATAGGATATTAACAAGTTTTGTCTCTGTGTCAGAATGCATTTCAGAATGCCCTTCCTGGAGCACTACAGACACTGTCTCTCAGTTCACTGGCTCCTTGAAGTAGCTTCACCGGTTGCTGACTCCCTTATGAATTAAAGAAAATGTCTTATACATATTTCTTCATTATTTGTATGAAAGTCATGCTTTTCATATTATGAACATTATACTTCAGGCTGGGTGCGGTGGCTGAAGTGGCCAGACCACCTGAGGCCAGGAGTTTGACACCAGCCTGGTCAACATGGTGAAACCCCATCTCTACCAAAAAAAAAAAAATCCAAATTAGCCAGGTATGGTGGCTCACACCTGAAGTTCCAGCTCCTTGGGAGGCTGAAGCACAAGAATTGCTTGAACTTGGAAGGCACAGGTTGCAGTGAACTATCGTGCCACTGCACTCCAGCCAGAGCAAGACTCTGTCTCAAAGAAAAAGAAAATTATGCTTTGATACAGTATGCTAATGTGAAGGATATGATTCGATTTGGCTGTATCCCCACCCAAATCTCACCTTGAACTGTAATAATCACCACGTGTGGGGATGGAAACAGGTGGAGGTAATTGAATCCCGGAGGCGGTTTCTCCCACGCTGTTCTCGTGATAGTGAGTTCTCATGAGATCTGATGGTTTTATAACGGGCTTTCCCATGTATTTGTTTCTCTTTCTCTCTCCTGCTGCTCCGTGGAGAGGTGTTTTCTGCCATATTTGTGAGTTTCCTGAGGCCTTCCCAGCCCTGCAGAACTGTGAGTCAGTTAAGCCTCTTTTCTTTATAAATTATCCAGCTGTGGGTATTTCTCCAGAGCAGCATGAGAATGGACTAATACAGTATGGTAATATAGCAGCCCAGACTGTAGTATGCAGGTACCGTTATACTTTGATACTGGAGGTATTCCCAGTAAGGTCAGGAGCAGTGTGTGCTATCATCCCCGTGATCTAACATTGTTCCAGAGGTTTTCAGGTCAGCAGTTCTCAACTGGAGGTGACTTTGTCTCCCTGGGGACATTTGGCAATATCTGAGATCATTTTGGCTGTCACAGCTGAGGAGTGCTACTGGCGTGTGGCAGGCGGAGGCTGGGGATGCTGCTAATACCCTGCGGGGCACAGACAGCCCCATAACAAAGAATTCTCCAGCCCAAAACGTCAATAGTGCTGCTGTTGAGAAACCCTAGCCTAGACAAGTAAAACATGGGAAATCCATTAACATAAATGCTGGAAAATAATAATC